TGATGACCAAAATGTTGGGGGATACCTCCTTTTGTAACAGGGCCCTAGACTTCAGTAGGCTCCCAAACCTCAGCACAGCTGACTCTACGATGGAAGAGCCGTTCAGGCTGGAAAACACAGCACGTAGCCAGCACCACCTGCCAAAACTAAAACAAAGGCCTAATCCATCAAAGTCCATAGCTTTGGCAAAGCCTCTAAATGCACTAACCTTGCTTTTTGGCTTCTGCAGTTCTGCTTCTGACTAACTGTTCTTGTTAACTGAAGTGTGTCAAACCAGAATAATTTTGTGTGTGTGTGTGTGTGTGTGTGTGTGTGTGTGTGTTTACATGTTTACTCAGGGCTATACTGGGATCCTGAACATCCAGTGTAGTTGCCGGCTAGCTAATAAAGACTTTCTTATTGTCTTAAATCCTTGTCCATGTCCTACTCTGGTGGACACCCCGTAACACTTTCAGTCTGTTTTCTTTTGGAAAGGATCTTTCTTCACCTCCCCAAAGCTATGGGCCAGCAGTCCTCTACTACCTAGAGACTTTGTACTATAATATGGCCTGGTTACTTCTCGACAACGGCCGGGCAGCGTGTTTCATTTCCCCATTCAAATGGATTTGACATTAACGCAATGGAATGTGGTTCACAGGTTTCCCGCATCCAAGCTTTACTCTTCCTCTACTTTGGCCTTGCTCCCTTTGTCTTCTGTCCCTCCTTTCTGGTTCTCTCTCTGCATTAAACCTCTCATCCACCTCTAATCCCAGCATTTGGGAGACAGAAGCAGGCAACTTTCTTTGAGTTCGAGGCCAGCCTGGTCTACAAGAGCTAGTTCCCGGACAGGCTCCAAAGCTACACAGAGAAACCCTGTCTCGAAAAACAAGCAAAACAAACAAACAAACAATAACAAAAAAAATAAGAAGCCTAGCCAATCAAATAAGACTGTGAGGTCAGACCATAGTCAATGGGGACTAGACAGCCATTATCTGAGTTAGAACAAAAACCAAGTGCACTTCTGTTGTTTTTTTAAGGTTTTTCAAGACAGGGTTTCTCTGTAACTTTGGAGTCTGTCCTGGAACTAGCTCTTGTAGACCAGGCTGGCCTCGAACTCACAGAGACCCGCCTGCCTCTGCCTCCCAAGTGCTGGGATTAAAGGTGTGCGCCACCACCGCCCCAGCTCAAGTGCACTTCTTGCCCATCCAGTTTCTGTCCTCTCATCTGAGCACACCCTCCTGGCAACGCTATTGCTCTGTCCAGACACTCCAACTAGGGTGGTGCTCTCTGACTTTGTGACCCTGCACTTATTCCTAACAGTTTAGGGGGCTTCTCTGGGATCCTAGCTCACGAGAGGGAGTGATTCAGACCCCTCCCAGGGGGCAACTCATCCTAACAGCTTTTTTTTCCCCCTTTGGAGACCCAAGGGCTCGCTGGGCCTCTGGCATTCTCAAGCTCAAGATTGCAGTGTTTGGAAGTCTCTGTCAATGGAGGGAGGGCTGATCCAAAGAAATGGCTTTGGTCACCAGGAATGCTCTGTGCACAAGCCAAAGGTAAGAGATGCTGTGGGAACAGCGAAGTATTCCATTGGTTGTTGGGCCACACTGGGGGGTCGAGATGTGTCTTGACAAGTGCAGGAAACCTCCATTCAAAGGGAGCTGAGAAGAAGATAAACAAGGATGGGGGAAATAACCTATGTAAAAAGAGCTCTAAAAACAAACAACAGCAAAAGCACCATTAAAATCTGAGGTTAGCTCGTTAGTTTCATATAAAGGGGTTACCTCACCTTTAGGGCTTAATGGCACCAGGGAGTTTATAGGTGTTATCATTTTGGTTTATGCCATGTTATTATATTATCTAAGATGGTGATGAAGTCACATTTATTGTCATTATTTCATTTTCATTAGCCAATATAGGGCCAAATCCTGTGTTTGCCTCGATCTTAATGATGTCACCAGCCAAGATGGAGGTGAAGCACACGGTTACTTTATGTCCATGAGCTGAGCTTCATACATAGTAAAGCAAACTCATCCTCTGTCAAGATACAAATTCCGCTGGGCAGTGGTGGTGCACACCTTTAATTCCAGCAGTCAGGGAGGCAGAGGCAGGAGAATCTCTTTGAGTTCAAGGACAGTCTGTTCTACAAAGCAAGTTCCAGGACAGGACAGGCTGCATAGAGAAACCCTGTCTCAAAAAAACAAACAAAGAGTACGTTAAAAAAAAAAAAAGGATACAAGTCCCTGTGGGATCTACACACAACACAACTTAAACATGAACAATTTACTCATTTCTTTAAAAAAAGACACCTTAGTTAGGTAGTATTGACTTAGAAGATGATACCTATGGCCTAGGAATGTTTACCTCAAATAGCAAAGAAACAGAGGAAGGAATTCATGGTCTTAACTCAAGAAAGTCGAGTTTATATGTCTTACCACACAAACTGCGGCTGCAGACACAGAGGGTCGGCATCTGATCTTGTCTTAACCTCTCCCCTGGCCCTAAGGAAATGCTGCTGCTGAGAGGACCAGATGAAGGAAGCAGAAGATTGGAGCGGTGCCCAGCGCCACAGTGGGCCTCTGCCTGGGAGCACGCAGAGGAATGAAATGTTTTATGCCATGGACAGTGGGCTGGGATCAGATGGATCTGTGACTTGCCATGCTGCCTGGGATTTTTTTTTTTTTTGAGACAGAGTTTCTCTGTGTAACAACCCTGGCTGTCCTGGAACTTGCTCTGTAGACCAGGCTGGCCTCAAACTCACAGAGATCTGCCTGGCTCTGCCTCCTGAGTGCTGGGATTAAAGGTGTGCACCACCACCTGGCCTGTTGACTGGGATTTAGGATCTTTGAATACCAATTTTTTTTATTTTTTTATTTTATGTGCATTTGTGTTTTCTCTTGCATGTATGTCTGTGTGAGGGTGTCAGATCTTGGAGTTACAGACAGTTGTGAGCTGCCATGTGGGTGCTGGGACTTGAACCCAGATCCTTTGGAAGAACAGCTGAGCCATCTCTTCCAGCCCTGAATACCAATTAGAATAGTTAATACTAGTTCAAAACATCGGAAGCCTTGTGTGGAACTTTCACCTGGTTAAAAGATTGTCAAATCATCAGCCAGATGACATCATCTAAAGCTATGTGAGACTTAACTATACTAAGAGACTGCCTTTGTCCCTTCCACCAGATCAGGTCCAAGGTCTCCCAGGTTCTCTGAGGGAAGTGGGTGAAAGGGGAAAGAAGGGAGAATCCTGTACCCAGAGAGGGAGAAGATAGAAACTTAGCTGGGCCTCATGAGGCAAGAGGGAAATCTAATTCAACACAACTTAGTTAGCTGATGCCGGTTCAGACTTCTAGAGTCTGACCTGGGCAGTTTATTTTAGACATATTTAAGAGCGGTAGAGTTAGCCAGGAGGTGGTGGCGTATGCCTTTAATCCCAGCACTTTTAATCCCAGCACTCGGGAGGCAGAGGCAGGAGGATCTCTCTGAGTTTGAGGTCAGCCTGGTCTACAAGAGCTAGTTCCAGAACAGGCTCCAAAGCTACAGAGAAACCCTATCTTGAAAAACCAAAAAAAAAAAAAAAAAGCAGTACAGTTTTTTTTTTTGTTGTTTTGTTGTTTTTTTTTTTGGCTGGGGGGGGAGTTTCCTGGTAACAACTGTCTCAATTCCATGTGCACATGTGCACACTAAAGCTTAGGTGTGACTACATCCAAACTTCTGCAAAGTACACGTGGACTCTACCATGACAAGGTCTCTGTAAGCTGAAGGGTCTGGGATCTGCTGTGGTTTTGTTCATGTGAATAGTATAGAGGTCACCAGGCTACAAAGTACAGGTGACAGCTCCCCTAAGGATGGGATCTATTGACTGAGCAACAAAGCTCAAGATAAAGATCTAGGAAGGGAGATGGGAGAAACTTAATGATCTGGGGGATGTGGTGTGGCTGGTCCTACAGATAGCACAGGTCATCAGGGTGTTAGCTACACCCACTCCCAGCCTTCTGGGTGGAAAACAAGGCATGCATCTCCCTTGCAGAGACAGGTCTGCGAGCTCAGCGTTCCTGGTTTCCCTTGTGCTTATCTGTGAGCACAAGGACCTTTTCCCTCTATACCTTGACAGGTGCCACAGATGCCCAAAGTAGAACTCTGACCTTTGACCCAGTTTCTAAATGACTTCATGGTTATATCTTTAGGGAGGTAGAATGGTAAAGCAGCAATGGAATTCTGTTAAGAGAAAATCATGAGTTTGAAGAAAAGAATACTTAAAACTAAGGAGAGATTTGTATGAAGCATTAAATTTGAGCATTTTCTAACCAAATACTATAAAAACTTGTGTTAAGAACAAGGAATTCAGATCTTTTTATCGTTTCCCCAAAGATTTCTATGCAAATGTTTTAATTCTCAGCACTTCAACCTTTGTTTGCACGAAGACCCTCTGTTACACGCCAGGAATTTGGTGTTCGCGCTCTGAACCCTTTCCTTTTCCTTCATTTCTTGAGCACTAATTATTTTAAGACTAGGCAATTGGCCGGATGGTGGTGGCGTGCACCTTTAATCCCAGCACTTGGGAGGCCAAGACAGGTGGATCTCCGTGACTGTGAGCTCAGCCTCGTCTACAAGAGCTAGTTCCAGCACAGTCAGGGCTACACAGAGAAACCCTGTCTCAACAAACAAACAAACAAACAAACAAAGATTAGCCAATCAAATAAGACTGTGAAGCCAGACCCCAGCCAATGAGAAAAAGACACAGTCATCACTTCCTGTCCCTGTGCGTTTTCTGTTCTAGCAGTGTCCCAGTCAAGAGTGATGTTTGCTTTGTCAGACATTTCAGTTGAAGTCATGCTCTCTCTCTTTGCCACCCTGAACTCGTGTCTGTCACTTGAGCCAGATCCTCCTCCTAATTTGTCCCCTTCACTTGTGTTTATTTTCACGCCACAACACTCCCTTCTCTGCTGACTGTTAGGAATATTTCTTAGAGGAGCCTCTCCACTGACACAATTAACTCCAAACAGAGTCTTTTGTTAGGTCAAATAAAAGATGCCCATGTTTAATGCAGTGCTCCTGGGTGGCCCAGGGAAGCATGGCAAAGGAAAGAACAGGGGAGACCATGCAAAACTTGGAGACCACGTGTTCCTTTTCTGGGCAGCAGCCTAAATAGCCTATGGGAGTGGTCCTGACCCTCCCTGGGGAGGGGGTCAGCGTTTTGCAGGCTTTTCCGGAGGTGGAGTCTGGACCAAGGCAACTCCCAGGGGAGGGATCTTGAGCTGGAGCTTTCTGCTCCATTCCTGCTCCATTGGCACTCCAAAGATGGGTGCCAGAGCCTGGGGTGATGCTTTCCCCAAACATCCCAGACTCCTTGAATAAAGGGGCATCGGCTCAAGTCTGGCTACTTCCTGCAGGCATGGGGCGGCATTGGAGAAGAGAGAACTGGGAGTTGGATTGGTGGGCTCACGCTCAGCGAGAGGTGTGGCTGGAGCAGCATCCAGTTTACTGTCATCCTGGAGTCCTCAGGCAGCTGTTTCTTGAGGGAGATGAGAAGGCAGGTGGCTAGGAGAAAAAGTATTGCTATTATTGGCCCTATGAATGGAGCTAGCCATGGGAAGTCATTAACTGCTAAAAAGAATGGGACAGAGAAGTGCCCTGGCTGTATAGGTGAGACTCAGGTGTATAATTGGGAGACAATAGCAGGTAAAACCAGATTTTAGTTGGTAGGTGTCCTTGAGCCAGGAGAGTTGGTACCAATAGTGAAGTCCCAGAAGCTGGTACAGGTGTTGGCGTTGTCTGGAGAGCGCTTTGTGAGTTGATCTTGGCCCAGACAGCAGGAGTGACCTGTAAAATATGTTTGAAACTGGATGGGATTAGAACAGGCTCTGGAGGCTGTTAGTCTTTACCAGACCAGATTTTCTGATAGCAGAGCAGAACTTTTTCCCAGAACAGATATCCAGGTATCTTATAGACACCTGTAGGTATCTGTAAGACAACTGGAACAGATTTACTTCTTGGTGTCATAGCAAAAGGCTATTGCTTTAGGTTAAAAGGTATGAACATTTTAGAAGACAAAGGAAATTGGGAACTCTGAATTTTTAAGATACACCTGAAACTTGTTAGTTCTGGACTATGAAGCCTGTGAAAGAGGCACACCTGTCTGTATTTTTAGCCGGAACTTAACACATGAAGTAATGAGCTACCAGTACCTTAAGTCATCAAATGCCATTAGACAGATCTAAGGGGATAAATAAGCAAAAATGAGACAGCTTTTTTTTTTAGCTACACAGGTAATCCCAAGTCTCTCCTTAGTCCTTGGAAAACACCAGCCTAGAAGCAGTGCTTGTCGTTAGCTGCTGAGTATAAGAGGCCCAAAGATTTTTCCTGTGGGAGGGGAAGATTTAGTCTACCTGTCTTGGCAGGATGAGAAGATTGATTCCCTGGGTACCATCCAGGAAACTGAAGAGGTAAAAGGCTGCTTTTTGCTGTGTGGGTGGCTTTGCCAAACCCAAAGACAAACCTGGAGGCAGAAGGTCTTCTGTAACCATGCATCTTCTTGGAGGAGCTATGGGATGTTGTGGGAGCTGGCATGTCTCTGTGTTAGAAGGTCTTTTGTTAAATGCCATACTCTCAGATCTGTAAAGGCATTTGAGAATTGGGTACCATCACCTGTTATTTTAAACTGGGCATATAAGCTAAATTTAGACGTGTGTTTTAATCCAATTAGTTACAGTTTACCAATGCTAGTAAATGTAAGAAGATTAAAAGGAATATTTTAATGAGTCAAAGAATACTAGTGCATGTGGGTACTCTTACCCAAGATGGCAGTGAGGTCAAAATGGCAGTTACCCACGTGTTTGTACTTTTCCAGAGCTGTTATAGTCTGGAGTTATAAATTTTACTGATCTTAAAACAAGCACATATGCACACAGAAACATAAATCAAGCATGCTGTGAAAACACACCCACATATTCACACAGACATATTGTGGCCACATTATTCTAACAGACAAACAAATGAAACACTTTTAGAAACCTCTGTCAGCTGACCAACTTAAAAATCCTGATGTGGACAGGTGGCAGAAGCCAGGGAAACACAGAGGTAGTCCCGCTAAGGATCAGATTAGCAGATGCTGCAAGGGAACAAGAACAAAAGGACCGAGGAACGATGTGGTGTTAGAGTGGAAGGACAGGGGAAGCAGATCCATTGTAGAGAATCCCAGTGCGAGACAAACAGCAAACAGCTACAGAGCAGGGAGGGGGAGCAGAGTGGGGAGAGCGGGTGCTCGAACATGCATCTAGGAACCACAGTTGGAGCCTTTAGTGGGAATGGCTACCAGGAAGCTTATCCGTGGACAGGACTCTGCCTAAGAATCTTCAATCATTAACTCTTGCGTCATAGGACTTCCTTAGTTAATCTCCACTAGAAGTTGTAAACCTCAATTCGATAATGTTTTGCCTCTCTCTATATGCCACAGGTACTCATTTCAAACAAAGAGCATGGCTGTATGCTAGAACATTTTGGGGCCTTGCAAAACACAAAAAGATTTTTAAGAGGTAGGAGACAAGACTTGGATATGCTAATCAAGACGTGTTTAGAAGTCCTGTAGACTTTCTCTAGATTTTATGGAGTAGTTAAAAGTACCAGACTGGTGTACTAACCTGGGTGTTCAATAACCTTGTTTAGACGACTCTCCTGATGTAGACAGAGGAGTTAAAAGGGACAATATTGCCCTTTGTCCTCCATGGTCAACTAGGTCTCACAGAACTGTGTGGATTCCTCAAAATGTCCTATAGCCCTGGTGAGCCAGCTGTCCTTTTGTTTTCCTTTTGTTCAGGAAGGCAATCAACACCATACTGTGTGGGCTCTGACCAGCCACAATTCCACAAAGAGAAAGTTCAACACAGCAAATTTTCTTCTCTGCTTCCAGGTAAGGCTAGAGCCGAGCAGAGCCTCTGTCTTATCCTCATGTAAAAGTGAGGTGAGAGGGGCAAGGAACTCCTCCCAATCCCAAGTGACTCCCGAGGACCAGACCCTTAACTGATCCAAGAATAAAGAATAAAAAGACTCCATCTTCTCCTCTGGGGTCTAGCCTGAAAAGTGTAGTTCACACTCCTCATCAAGAAAACTTCTCTTTGCAATAGATGGAGACCACTGTAGAAAACCACAGTCAAAACGCAGAACCCAGTCCTAGTGGCTACATTTATAAAACATTTCTGGCACTTGGGAGGCGGAGGCAGGCGGATCTCTGTGAGTTCAAGGCCAGCCTGGTCTACAAGAACTAGTTCCAGGACAGGCTCCAAAGCTACAGAGAACCCTGTTTTGAAAAACCAATAATAATAATAATAATAATAAAACATTCCTGTACCGAAGGCTCAAGGAACACTGTGGGAGAGGGTGTGGAAAGATTGTAAGAGCCAGAGAATCAGGAAGTTGCTGTGAGATTGTTTCCTCGGACTGTCAGAAGCTGCACCCTTAAAGTCTCACCAATAAGACCAGCCAAATGTGAGCTGATCAAGGACAGTAGACATGCCGAGGTGGGTGGGAGTCGGGGACACAGAGGACAACCCTATGAACCCTCAACCCTACACAGAGAGCTGGAGACAGCTAAGGAAGGCTGGGTGTGAGCTCCTGTTCCTGGCCTAGGCTGTGTGTTAGTGGGTGCCGGAGATTTGAACTCAGCTCCTCATGCTTGTGAAGCAGTTCTCTTACCCTGTGCCTAGACTTAACAGCTTCAGTTTTAATGGAACTAGCTCAGAGGATGATCAGTGTGGTGGACCAATAGGGGTTGGGACCCAAAAGGATGGGCACACTTTAAAGCCGGCACTCAGGAGGCAGAGGCAGGCGGATCTCTGAGTTTGAGGTCAGTCTGGTGTACAGAGCTAGTTCCAGAACAGCTAGGGCTACACAGGGAGACCCTGCCTTGAAAAACCAAAAAACCAAAGTCAAATAAAAAACTGCATAAAGACTTGCTTTAGAGACATGGGTGCAGTGCGGAAAAAAAAAAACAAAAAAAAAAAACAAAAAAAACCAACCCTGGAAAAGCATGTCTGCCTTAGTCAACAAGTTGAGTGTGGTTTGAAAAGAATAGTGAAATTCATCAACTATGACCAAAAAAAGGCACAAATATTTAATTCTAGAAATAAAAAGACACACAGTCACAGATATAACTGACACCCAAGTACTAATAAAATATAGACAGCTAGATAAAATAGATTAAGTTCTAGAAAAATATCACTTGGTGAAATAAAACATAAGAAATAATGAAGTATCTGAACTCAAAGGTTAAAAAGGTAAGACGAGGGAACATGATTTAAGATAGTGCAAGCATTTATTCTGGAAAGAAGCATGCAGAGCAGAAGTGGGGGTGGGGAGGGAGATGGAAAAACTTCCCTTCCCGCTTCTGACCTGAGATTGGTCGTTACTAGGAGTAAAGAGGAATAGTGAGTAAAAGGGTGTCAGGTGACAAGCATCTCTTGTGGCCAGCCATTAGTAAGGGTTTGCAGGGAGGGTGGGGTGGCCGGAATCTAGGCTTTAGTTCTGGAATGCTAATTACTCTGGTTTCTGGAATTGTCACCACATAACCAACATGAAAGAGCTTCTCAAAAATGGCCTGTTCATGGCGCATGTGAGCGGTTCCGGTTCCACCAAAGAAGCAGAAACAGTAGTAGGCGATCTTAGGTTTCAACCGCGGCTGCCATCTTCCCGTAACTCGGCAAAACGAGGAACACAGTGGGAAGGAGAAAGGGCACTTGCTACGTGTTCTCCAGGCCTTTAAAGGAAACATGGAGTTGTTCCTTTGGCCATGTACATGCAAATCTACAGGGAGAGTGATATTGTATACATCAAGGGAATGGGCACTGTTCAAAATGGAATGCCCCATAAGTGTTACCATGGTAAAACCAGAAAAGTCTACAGTGTCACCCAGCATGCCTGGGGCATCACTGTAAACAAACAAGTTAAGGACAAGCTTCTTGCCCAGAGAATTAATGTGCGGACTCAGCACATCAAGCACTCGAAGAGCAGAGACAGCTTCCTGAAATGGATGAAGGAGAATGGCCAGAAGAACAAGGAAGCCAAAGAGAAGGGCACATGGGTTCAGCAGACATCCCAGCCTGCTCCGCCCAGAGAAGCACACTTTGTGAGGACTGAGGGGGGAGGCTGAGCTGCTGGAGCCCATTAGGTAGGAATTCACAGCCAGTGAACAAAAAAAGTGCAGTGTCTCCTTCCTGAAAGAAAATGTTGAAGCAATAAAATAATTTATATATATATATATATGAAAAGAACCCCCCGGGCTATAGGGTGTCACTGTTGAAACATTCTTCAAGGAATAATTAATTCTAGATTTACATGTATGACATAAGAGTGAGCATGGATAAGCCCTTCCTAAATGTGCTTCATAAGTACCAGCAACATTAGCTGGGCGCGGTGATGCACACCTGTATTCCTGGCATTTGAGAGGCAGGAGAGAAGGATCAGGAGTTCAAAGTTATCCTCAGCTAATTCTGAGGCCAGTCAGGGCTATGTGAGACCCATATTAAAAACCCAACCAATCAAACAAAACTAACAGCAAACATTTAAAATATGAAAATTTAAGGTATGTTTTTGTAACAGCATTAACTAAAGACCAGAGGGAGTATGACTGAGTTATCTGAGGACCTGACTTAGCAAACTCTGTTTTAAAAAAGGGCTTCATGTTAATTCATATAATGAGCTGGGCTGATCTCAGCTCCAGAAGTGTGCTGTGATAGCAGAACTTGAACAGATACCCTGAAAATGGCCAATTAAGGAGCTAGGGAGCAGGGCCATAAAATTTAAGGAGGTCCAGAAGCTCCTAGGAGGCGTCCTGTCCTTGAAGATACCTTGTCAGTACTTAATGACTCTTTGTTAGGGTTTTTGTGCCCAAAAAACTGACCAATGGCTTCAGAAACCTTTCCCCTTTAAAAGTTCTACCCTTCCTGGGCCCCCTGCCACACTTTCTGCACCATGCTGGGGTGCTGGAAAGGTGTTGGTCCAAACTTGAGTTTGAATATTAAAAACCCTCATGTAATTTGCATCAGAAATCCAGCTCTGTGAATTCATCTGGGGACCAGAAATTTGGGCATAACAAGTTAAAGTTCAGCTGGTCTTGGTGTCACATGTTTATATCTCCAGCATTCAGGACCGGGGCAAGATGATTATGAATTTGAGGCCAGTCTCGGATAGCCAGTGAATTTCAGGCTAATCTGGGCTATGTAATCAAGACTCTCAAAAAGAGCCAGTAATAAAAACATAGGCTAATCTAACTCAGGAGCATAGGTTAAAAAACATATTATTATTATTATTTTTTGATACAGTGCCTTACCCTTTGTAGCCCAGGCTTGCTTGGAACTTAGTATGTAGCTCAGTCCAGCCTGAATAGCTACATGGTAATTTTCCTGCCTTAGCCTCCTAAGTGTGGGGATTACAGGCATAAACCCCAGTGCTTAACTCAAAAATCATAAAGCATTAAGACAGACTATAGCACTGTATTGCAAAATAAATTTACTATGATGATATATTTATTAGTTATATTATTACTTGATAACATCATAATAAGAAGTGAAAATTGCTTTAACAATACACATTCAAATAGTACATTACTGTCAAGAGCTCTTGGGCTGGTGTCTTAGTTGTTGTTTTATTGCTGTGAAGAGACACCATGACCAAGGCAACATATAGAAAAAATAATTTGGGGGGTCTTGCTGACAGTCTAAGAGGGTTTATGACTGGCATGGTGAGGAGCGTGGCCGCAGGCAGGCAGGCAGGCACAGCGCTGATGAAGTATTTGATAGTTCACATCTGATCTGAAAGTTGCAGGTAGAGAGAGAGAGAGAGACTGAGAGAGAGAGAGAGAGAGAGACTGGGCCTGGCATGGGCTTTGGAAACTTCAAAAGCCAGTAGCACACTGCCTCCAACAAGGAGGCCACACCTTCTCATCCTTCCCAAACAGTTCCACTAACTGGGGGCCAAACATCCAATGAGCCAATGATGGGGGGGCATTCTCACTCAAACCACCATCATTGAATTTCTTTTCTCTGTCAATTAAAGAAATAAAAGGTAGGAGATAAATTAGAGTCACAGCAAGCAAGCAAGTTTTATTAAAAGCAAAAGTTAGCCTTGTAGACTCCTCAAATGGGGAGGGGATTTGGAAACCAAAATCTTTCCCGCTGGAAGACTGGGAGTTCCACCTTTTTGTTGTTGTTCTCTTGTTTGTTTCAGTAGCTTAGAACAGGGCTACTTCCCCTTGTTTTGGATTGGTCTTCGTAAACAAAGGAGGAGGTTGATTGGTCCACAGAGTGTCCAGGGTCTTCCTATGACATGCCCAGGCGTGTCAGCTGAAATGGGGGTAGGGTATGGTACAAAGAAGATCATACCAAGTCTTTGTTCTGAGAGAAGCTGGAAGCATGTCACCTTCTTGTTTCCCTATGACCACTTGTCCTAGCTGTCTGACAGGGCCTATCTGACACCAATATTTCCTCATTGCTCTGTGTCAGAGGTCACATTAACTGCTGCTGGAACTTGGGGGCGAAGACCGCTCTGGCTGCTTCCTGCTGACATCATGGGCGATGTGGGGAGAGAAAGCAGTAAGATCGACTCTGGAGCGGATTGAACTAAGTGGCCACGGTCGCCCTTAGTTGATGACGGACCGCCAGCGTGAAGGACAACCACGTGACGACAGCGTACCTCCTTGGGGCCTGCTATGAGGGTGAGAGAGCACCTGTAACATAGGTAAACTGAGACAATTAGCGCAACTATAAATCCTACTGAGAGAATAGTTAAGAAGAAAATCGGAGCAGTGTTGCCCTGATTGGAGGATGACGACAGACAAGAATACCACCCGAAGAACCCTTGGCATGACTTGTTATCAGCATCGCTGAGGCTGATCATATGCTTTCCGCCACTGTCCACCACAAGACTCACACTGTAGAGCCCCTTGGTTTGATTCAAGAGCTCAAGTAGTCTTCCATCAGCCAATCTAAGTTCAGAAGTTGGCCACTGCGTCTCTTCCAACACAACCTCCTCGTGAGGAACGCCGGGAGGTAGCGTTAGTGAGAACTCGTCTACATCGTGATTAACGTAAGTCTTGTTTAAGAGAATGAAATGCAATCGGGCTGTCGGCTTGACTGTGCACCAGGGTCCTGCAGAAGGGAGGGAGTGCTTAGAAACCTCACATGCGAAGTCAGTGAGAGCCACGGTGTCGTTAGCCGTGCCCTCCCAACAAAATATACCCTTTCCCATATACCAGATGGAATTCTTGGTGGGGGTGGGTACCAAAGGCCATGCCTGTGTGAAATCTGGGACCCGTTTTTGTCGAGGGCAGAGCCAGATACCATTTTTCAATTGACAATCTGATAGGGAGATGTAATCCCATTGGGTTTTGTTCCATAGGATTGCCCAGCGATGTCCCATGGGCGCAATACGGGTGTTTTGGATAATTTCTCCTAGCCCTGTGAGTTTGACAACAGGGTGTCTGGTTGCCCCATTCAGTTGGGGAACGTGGGCAAGTAAGGCGCAGGCTGTCTCATTACAGTTATGAGAGACCATTTTCCAGAGATGAGGCATACCATAGGTGGCAAAAATATGGTGAGATTTGGCCTCAGCGTTTAGGAGTGTGGGCCATTGCCCCGTGGCCAGTTCAGATCCCATTTGGATTAGGCCGTCCAGCAGACCTTGTTGAACCTGGACACAAGCTCTTTCCCAGGTTGTGATGGAGACATATTCCTGGAGGACCTGCTCTATGGAAGCTGTCCATTCCTTTAACCCTGCATCTTCTATTGCGTGGGGAGTCCAGCCCCTCCCTTCTTCTTGGACTAGTAAACCAACCTTATATACTATCTTCAGCCCAGAGACCTTTTGTAGTGAGTGCCTCTTCTCCAAAATGGCCCATTCTAAGCTCTTTGCATTCCTTGGGTCTGTGTCAGTTTCCCCAGGCAGGACCTTTCTATTGTGAGGAAGGGCCACAGCTGTGGGGAACCCCTGGCCTGCAGTTCCTTTAGGCCAAGTTTGGGATAGTTCCCAGAGGAACTGGGCTTGTTGGGTGGCTGTGGCCCGAGAACAGTTAGGATAGAAATGATGGATCCAGAATCTGGAAATATCCCACTGAAGGATGAGGGTAGTCGGAACAACTCCCAGGTAGGCGAAAGTCTGAGTGTGCCAGAGAGGTTCCCAGATCCGTCCAGCCCGCAAGTTGAGGTTGCTTCGAGAGGGCTTATGGGTCCCTCTAGTAACACCCGGTATGGCCTGCAAGGTGAAGTTGGTCCTCTGAGGCCTGCGGGTCCACCAAGTCACTCCTAGCAACTGAGGTTGTTTATCAGGGAACTCCATGAGAATCCCACAAGAACAGGGCAGGGAGGTCTGGGGACAGTGCTGTATGTTACAATGAACCTTACATAGTTGGTGGGGTTTGTGGACCTTACACACAGATGACCCTGTCTGGGGGTGAGCTTTACAATCAGTTAGCCATTCCTGGCCGGGCACACTCATCATATTGACAGTAACACACGCAGGGGTCCAGCAGCTTTGGTCCTTAGTACAGGTATTAGCCAGGGAGGGGTTGAGTGGAGTGGCCTTGCTGGGGGGTGGGCCAAGATAGGAGAGTATTCCTGAGAAGGGTTCTCCTTTGTAAAGGTCTAGAGTGGTCCTATTCCACATCAGAACAGCAGGCCCCCCCATGGAGTGAGGAGTGAAGCGGCGGACCTGTGTGTGCCCCTCACCAGGTTCTGACACTGGAACACACGCCCTGGTAGCATCAGACTCCGTGAGATTGCAGTGAACATCATTCTCATCAGTCCATTGCCTAGAGTCCGGCTCAAAGAAATCTGGATTCCGGGGAGGGCACTGGGTTATGGAGAGTTCTATCAGAGCTGCGAGACAGGTCATCACTGAGAGACATGACACCAGACAGTATGTCACTCCACACATGACAGTCAGAGGACAATAACTGTGACAGGGCAGTGGGAGATGGAATGCCTCAATAGAACAGCTCAGTCAGGTAGACTTATCTGAGTCTGACGCTTGAAGAGCAGCCGAGGTCCTCCAGTGGCTCACGGTGTCGCTGGAGAGCGGAGTTTCTGGGGAGACTGGTAACCTCAGAGCAGCCAGGAGCAGTCCAGCGCTTGACACCTGTGTGGTATAGCCTCGGAA